TTAATCCATCATTATCTTTCATGAGCATGGTTATCATATAATTCGAGTCCTCATGTCAACTTATCACGAGTGTGATCTCGAACTTGGTTATTAGTCTTATTCAATTATGATCACATAAGTTTTCTTCGATTCCCAAATGTCTTAGCTCCTAGAGTAAACCAACTACGCTCTATTGATGTACTCCTACTATGACTATAGATTTCTTGAGCGAGACATTTATCGAAGTGCAATGTGATAACTCCTTTAGCATACAAGGAATGACATGTCCTATCTTAGTCATACACCTACTCCATTAAATTCATAATGCACCCAACGAATCTTCCATTTGCAACTCATTGATAGATTTATCAAAATGAGTGTCAAAGTGTATAAGTCCTCCAATGAGATAATTGTAACGACTTCAAGTCTAAGGACTATATATACCCATCTTGTATGAGATTCTCATAGACTAAAACTAAATGGGTTCTCATGACGAGTCAAGTCTAGTGACATGTTCTCTAACATAAATCACCTAAGCGTTTGCTTTAGCATCACCATGCCAATAGGTGTGAGATCTCCTATTGTTATCATATAGCATGAGCATAGCACTTACAAGTCTATCCGTATGTGTCAATTTTCATTCTTGACAATGCTATAACTTGAGACATTTAATGATATCATTTATGTGCATTAGTGTTTATCTTACATCTTTCGATCAATCACTATTACAAATGCATATCATAAGGACTTCTATCTAATTCTACCGAACATGTAAACAAAATAATTAATAGAATGACTTCTTTATTATTATCAAAATAAATAATGCAATGATAAATCAACTCAAGCCCATCCATACATGGTTGGATCTTGGGCAACTATACTAACATATATTAAATACCAAGAACTATCCGGGGTATTATGAGATTTATGATATATTATATATTTAATATCGTTTATTAATCTTACGTAGTAGCTATTATGTTATTCCTAACGGATGCATAGTAATAAGCTCCCAAGATGCAAAAATGCTAGATCGCATGATCCATTTATTAGTATGAAGTTATAACCTTTTGTTTTACTATTGATATTATAGAGAGTCTCACGTTGGTTCTAGCTTGTCATGTGCGAGTGGAAGATATTAGAAAAAAAGATCTAGGTCGAGTTGCCCATGACATGCCGACCCGACAATAAAATTATTATAAAAAAAAGAGAAAAAGGACAAGCAACTCGTTATATAGAAACATTATTCCATTCAACTCCCATATATACATATATAAGAAAAAGAAAAACAATAGAATAAAAATAACATAAAAGAACTCTCTATAAAAAAAAAAAAAACAAACAAACAAACAAAAAAGTTGTCTTGACACTTGAATTGTAGAATTCGGATAATAATTTAATATTACTATCTTGATCTAGTGAAATTACTTAACTTGATCTAGTGAAACTACTTATAGATAAACGTTATTTCGATCCTAGACCTTTTTTAAATTTTTATTTTTTTTATTATATTACGAGCTTTTAAAGGCTTGAATCACATGCCAAATTTTGATTTCTTGAATTTTTACTTGAAATTTTTTTACTTCCTTAAAATTTCATATTGCGTCTAAGAATAAAAATAAGTTAGTATCCGGACTATTAATTCAATTTTTTACTCTATACCTTAAAAAAAATACTCAATTTATGAATGAACTTTATAAAGTAGGACCGGATCCTCGTCGAATTGACTTTTACAAATAAACTCCGGTAAGGTTGGCTAAAATCCTTTGTCTAAATTAGATTGGGGCCATACCGATGTGGATCGTTCTTGACTATTGAAGTTTTTATTTTAGGTCTTAAATTCTTTCAAATCCTCGCCCGACTTATTTTTGCTAGGCATAATAATAACCACCAGCAAAGTAGTGGATGTGATGATAAGGCATCTTTGATAGTTTGAAGGAACCAACATGCATCTACTATAGCCAAACATAACCAAAATCTCTCCTCCTATATCAATAATCGTAAAAAGTGGATTATCTATTGATATAATCACCCACAAGCTCCCCACTTAACAGGAAAAATTGGTTTGCGCTTGAATTCAAGTGATGAGGTTGCAAATATGAACAATCGACAAGCCAAACCAAAAAAAAAAAAAAAAAAAATTATTTGAGGCTTGCTCGATCAAATTCAAAGCGAGTAGATGAGGGACTATGGTTATGGGAGGATTAGTCCAGTGGATTTCATTCGACCTTGATCCACGAAATGCACTTCAATATCACAAACCTCGCTCCTAAAAGGAATGAAAATGCATTTCAAAGGAAAGAACAAGACACGTCCTTCAAACTTCTATTATGACTAAAAGACCCGAGTCAAACCATTCACTCACTCCTTTAGGAATATAAAGCTCTATTTGTTTAGCGAAAAACAACTTTCAATAAGAAAAATAATTCCGAAGAAGCTATTTTTTAAGTTGTTTTCCAAAAAAATATTTTCTAACATTTACTAATTATATGAAAAAGCTGCTGAAAAATATATTATAGTGTTTTTTCAATATAGAAAACTAAAATGCAAAAATAGGTTATGATTGTTACATCAACGAGTTTTAAGAAAACTTTAATAAGGCATATTCACAATCTCACAATATAAGATGCATTTAGAAAAAATTAATAAATTTTTATAAATACTGACTCTAAGATTTAATTTCAAAAAATAAAAAATATATATATATATTTTTAACTATGAAACCAATTAATCAAAACTACTTGGGACAAAATCAAGTCAATATTTACATTTAGTAAAAAAATTTCTAAGTAATCATAGCATTGTTATTTTGATAACTCAATTAGAATTTTATTTTTTGTTTGAAATTGAACTCGATAATTTAGTCTAAAAAATATATTTACAAATTATTAGTTATCATTTGTAGATAATTATTCATTTAGTTTCAAAAGATTAATATTAGAATAATTTGTAACTAATTATTGACTATAATTACCAATAAAATTTTACAATTGATTAAAATTTGTTACAAATTATTGATTTAATTGCAAATGAATGGTGTTGAGCAATAATGTATTCATTAATGAATTAATTAGTTTCAAATTTTTCACAAATGATTGCAATCTTTTAATAATCATTTTCAATCATTTAGGTATAGCTTAGGTAGTGTTTGGAATAATAGTTAAAAAAAAAAGACATAAATTATTGAAATATTTATTATAAAAATAATTTTAAGATGTAAAAAAGGTTTTTAAGAATATTTAATGTATTTATAAATAGAAAAATCAAATGTTAGTAGAAATAGAGAAAAAAATAATTAAATAATTGATAAGAAATAATTAAAAATTAATTTAATATATTTTAAATAAATTGTTAAAATTGTCAATAGAAACAAAGAAAAATAATTAAATCAAATATTAGCAGTAAACGAGAGAAAAAATTATTAAAATATATTGAGAGAAAAGTGAGTAACGCGAAAGCGAGATAGCTCGTGAGAGAGAGAAAGAGAGATAATGTTTTCCTTTTTTAACCGGGAAAAGAAATTTCATTGATTGAAAATTAAATTCCATTGGCTTCTTTCTTAAACACGAAAAAAACATCTAAAAATAGGAAAAAAGGAGAAAACAAGTTTCGAAACTTTTTTTTCTCGAAACAAACACAGACTTAAGAGAGAAAATTCGTTCATTAGTCGATCTTCTAAATTTATTCATAAATTGAATAAACCCATAAATTTGGTCTCATACTTTATAAAGTTTATTCATAAAGTTTTTGGTCTTCAAAATTTTTCATCAAAAAATTCAGTCCCTATTTTATATATTTGTGCAAGCAAGTCTCTTTATTTTTTTTTAATTAATGAATATTATTAGGGCACATCTAAAAATTACATTAATGGGTATCTATATTTTTTATCTTTATCTATCTCAAACTTTTAAACATTTTTAATAGTATTTATTAAGGAAAAAAGAGCAGATATCTACTTTATATTCAGTCTATTCTCATTCTTAATTGCCCTGTACAAAATTAGAACACTACCACATATATTTGCTTATTACTCATCCATTAATGAGACTTTTTAATTTTGGTATTATTATTATTAGTAGTTGTTGTTTTAGTATTGTGTTGTCAAATCTGCTTCAACTTATACATATAAGATTAATTTATTTTCTTTAATTTGCGCAATCCATTATTCAAGCTCGTTAACTTGGTAGCTCAGATCATGCATTTCATCTACTGCGTCTGTTCTTTCCTCCCCCACCCCCGGGGGCTAATCACAAAGGCTTCTTACCGTCTCAGTAACTTGATTTTGGGAATCGTTGTGCCTTCTGTATAGTCTTTTGACGAGTATGACTTTACTGTATCCATTGTGCATTTTAATTCTAACGATGTGCTACAAATCATCCATATGACATTCTACGGTTTTTGTCAAAGTGTTCAAAACATAAAGGGAAAAACTAGACTTGAAAGAAATATCAATTCTGCATGTCAAATATCTAACTTCTGTAACCTGCCACCATTGGCTACCAATTCTTTTGATATATGGTTGAAGCCTAAACTTTGAGACATAGAAACCAACAGTTTGCAGATCAATTAGTAAGAGAACTTGACAGCATCAGTTTCATGTATGTATGCATAATTTCCCCACACCTACTTGAAATATCTTCCTAGCTATCCTGATTTTTCAAGCAATTATAAGCTGCCAGTACTATATCTCCCTCTATCGATACCCTCCACCTTTTCCAGAAAGACAAGGAAGTAATCTCCTAGTTACTGTGTTTGTGCAACTAATATGGTACATCACACCCAACTTGATTCTCTCTCCACCGGTATAAAAACCCTCTCTCTCCTCCTCATTGCACATCAAACACTTAAGCAAGTACCTCTAGCTCCACTTCAAATATTTTAGCATTCTTTCCAAGATAGGGCCACACTGCTACTGCACAAAGATGATGCGACAATCTTTCATCTCATTCTCTCTTTTCCTGTTCCTTTCCTTCCTCTATTGTACGGAAACGTTAGGTCAGTCACCAGCGGCCGCCCCAGCAATGGCACCACCTACAACCCCAGTGAAGGCACCACCTGCAGCCCCTGCACAGGCACCTGCTGGGCAGGTAGCAGCATCTCCTGGCCCTGTTGATGTCACTAAAATCCTGCAAAAGGCTGGCCACTTCACAGTCTTCGTCCGCCTAATGCAATCTACAACAGAAGACGTTGAGTTAAACAAGGAGCTGAACACCACAAACAATGGAATAACAATCCTTGCCCCAAGTGATAATGCATTTTCGAGCCTTAAAGCAGGATTTCTCAACTCTCTAAGCAATGAAGACAAGACTGAGTTGGTGAAGTTTCATGTTCTACCTGCATCTATAGCATCTTCCCAATTCCAGACTGTGAGTAACCCTGTAAGGACGCAGGCAGGAACAGGTCCCCGGGTAACACTTAATGTCACCACCACAGGGAATTTCGTGAATATAAGTTCAGGACTGACAAATACAAGCATATCCGGCACTGTATACACTGACAGCCAGCTTGCTATTTATCAGGTCGACAAGGTTCTATTTCCTCTGGACATTTTTACTCCTAAGCCTCCTGCTCCTGCTCCCGCACCAGCAGTGGAAAGTTCTAGGAAGGCACCACCTGACGTAGAGAGTCCAAGTGCTGCTAAGGATGTTTCCGGTGCTGTAAGTGTTATTGTGCACAATAATGCTGTGCTTCTTGCAATCAGTATGGTTGCCGCAATGTTTCCATGAGGCATCTGGGGTGTGGGCTCCCTTTTCCCAGTTGTTTTGTGATTTTGAATCCCCATGGGCAAATTTTCAAACATTAATTTCTATGAGCATATTTGAATTACTGTGGTGCATGATGACAGTCAGCACAGTTATAGAAGATGACTGCACAGTTAGGATTCGATTCCAGGTAAAAATCTAACGTAACTTGAAACACTGAAAAATTGAAGTTAAGTTGCTCCAATTAATAACTTCATTCAGCTTTATTTACTTTTTGCTTCACTTTCTCGTCAGCCAAACAATTCATAGGTGAAAAAAAGAAAAATCCTACGCTCAATAAAATGAAGATTAAGCACAGCTGGTTCAATTTTATAGTCCAGTTGAAGAATCAATATCAAAATATAAATAAAACAATCACACCCCAGCAACATAATCAATAAATCACTACCGGTGTACTGTATTAACTGTTAGCATGATCCATTCTTCCACTAGTTTGGCAATGACATGACAAACGAGAAAAAAAGGGAAGGGTTCAAATCGAGGTTTACAAATCTTCATGCTATCATCACCAGCCATGTTAAGGCTCCACTAAACCACGTAACATTCACTTCAAAATCTTAATAATAAGAACCCTAACATGTGAATAAGCTAAAAACATAAGCCCTGGAGGTGTGACCAACCAGAACTACTACAAGATCCTTGTTTGCACTTTTGACCTCAAGAGGATTGTCCAGTTGTCCCCCAAGCAAAGGTCCTTTGAGACGCACACAAACCCATTGCCCAACCTGTAAAGGCTTAGCACTAGCGCTGTGCTACAAATCATTTATGAGATACAGCGACTTTTTGTCACTGTCCAGACATTAGCGATAAACTAAAACTTCAAAGAAATATGAAGTCCGGCCAAATATCTGACTTCTGTAACCTGCCACCTTTCGCTATCCATTTTTAACGGGTTCAAGTCTTCACTGAAATAAAAAAACAGGGAAACCACCAGGCTCGATCCGGCAGATCCTGCTTTGTAGCAGGGGTAAGTAAAATGGAATGAGGCTAATAACATCCACAATAAGCACAAAATTACATCAAACTTGATTTTTTTTTTTTTTAATTAGTACAACACAACCTACACCACATAATCATAGCTGATCATATATGTATCAGAACAGAAGCCATGCGTGCTAGACAAATTCAAATAAATAGTCTCCCCCATCCTATGAATTAACCGGCTTTGCATTCAACTTCGGGAAAGGATCCTGCTTGCTCAATACTACAACTTTGCTCTTGTGAGCAAAGTAACCTTTCACAAGATTCTTGTATATTAATATGGCCACTATACATTCCACCTAAAAATTGGAACAAAGATTTCAATCAGTGACGTTCATCCAACAGGTAAAAAGTGCTAGACAGAGAATCCAGTAAAATTCCATACATGATGTAATAAACACAGACAAGAGCATCAAAAACTACCTCGTCCAAATCCATGTCTATCTCAAGCCATTTTAATGCTTTAACAATTACTTCCAATTTCATCTGGTGAGCTTTGTTTGGATCCCTCTGCTTTTGGATGATGTAACTGCAATTGTGATAACCATGAAAAGCATTCCAACTAACAATCTAAGCATACACACATCCAAATACGTGCACAAACAAATATGTCAAGCAGCAAGGCCCTTACATTTTCTTTAGCAATCTTTGGTAAACTTGAAGTTCTAGCTTCTCAAGGACAAGAAATACACCTGACCTTAGAAACCTAGAAGGAACCAAAACAAATGGCTCGATAAGTTAAATTTGTCTCCAATTATTCCTATTACCATTAGATCTCATGCATGCAAAAAAATAATAAATAAATAAATAAATAATAATAATAAATAAATAAAAGAAAAGAAAAGAAAAGAAAGAAAGAAATACCGATCTTCATGCTCCTGGAGAGCCTGCCGAAGTAGCCGGAGATCCCCCTTTTCAGAGCTTGGACTACATTACTGTACTGTCAAATGAAAAAACCATTGATTGTTAGATATGTACTAATGCAACTAACATTTAGGCAATAGACATTGGTAACAGTTGGTTCATCACCAAAGATGGCTTAGAACCAAGAGTTCATTATTAATAGATTTTTCTGTTCTAATACTCGGGTTCTTGGTCATAATAATCAAATTGTTACAAGCAAAGAAACAACATGTATTTAGGTTATTTGGTCCTTTTTCTCTATACAACATGAACAATGCACCCAGCTTGAACCCAGCTTGAACAAATTTAGCAAGCTCCTTAGGAACATAAAATTTGTCATCTGTGAGCACATTAGGAACATAAAACTCGTCATTACAAGCTGCAAGAAAAGAAATAACTGAAATGACAAGCATACCTCAACTAGGCCATACTTCTCTAAAAGCTGATCATTGGGTAGAATACCTATTGAAAGCTTCACGGGTATTAAATATTTTAAAATCATCCTGATCAAACAAAGATGAGAAAAAATGAGCTGAAACATGTTTACATTATCCGAAATAGACTATTAATGAAAAGGAAGAAGGTGCAAATGAGGGAGCATATCAACTTAAATCAGAGATTATGAAACCACCTATGAAGCAACATTTCATATGAACATATGTAAATAACAAATAAATAGGACATCCTAAGAAATAATAACATATTATCAATGAAATGTATCTGTCTGAAATATGTTAGGAAAATGAATATGACGTCATCTATTTGTAATTTTATATAACCCAAAATACCAGCTGTTCTCCATATCCAGAAACTATATTCATCATGTCTACAGATTATGAAATCAAGTTATATAACTTTGTGTCAATTAAAATGACCAATGGTAATGTAAATATATATATATTTGTAAAAGAGCATACAAACTAGACTATGGTTATTGATCTCTACATTAACTTTGCAATTTTATAATGCAAGAAAAATTTTGAGTTTCTGAAAGAAATTATAATGTCAAAGAAATTACTATAACCAAAAAACTAAAACAAATCAATGATAGCTTATAATTCGTCTAATACACATCCATTAACATGAATTGCATATGTGCAAAATAAAAAATAAAAGAATCCAAGGAAAAAATTAACGAAAGGAGGAAAGGTCTATCTTGTTAAATTCTAAGTTAAAACTCACAAAATTTTTAAAATCACATCTAGGACTTAAATCCAAATTTCCAAATTCAACCCAGATGCTATCCACGTTTTCTCCTCTATTCACAATAGATCCCCACATATGAGAAGCATCTTCACTAATTTCACTTTTCAACATTACTTCACATGTCAGCACATATCTAACATGTCAGGTCATGTCAGACATTACTTCATGATGGTTAGAAGTTTAATACTAATATATTGAGCAAAATGAACAATCCAATGCTTCATAAGGAACAACTTGAAGCAGTTGCAATTTGCACACTATGGCAAGACCAATAAAACCTCCAGAAAGAAGTTTCTGGCTTCGTGGAAGTTTGCAATCCCAAGGGCACAACTTTGTATTCTTGTGAAGTCACTCCAAGCCAAAATGCTGAAGGGAATCTGAAACTACTATCAAAGAGCTTCTGTAGAAGCATACCTCGACAATGACTTTATCAAATTTAAAGTTAACAAATGCAGAGACTAGAGAAACAATCATCATGCAAGTATAGTTTATCCCATGGTAACTTTAAAATGTGAACAATTACCACAGATTACAGTTTGACAACCATCAAATATGTCGCAAAGAGGCTATCTACAAAGACCAGATTTGCTATCATGCAGATGTAAAATACATGCAGCAAGCACACCTGAATCAAACCTGATATTTGCTTCATTACGGGGGTTGCAGTGCATTAAGGCATACGATAATTTATGATCAGCCTGCCATGTTATAAAACTGAATGAGTCGAAACAAATTCTTGAGCTTTTACATGCATAAAAAATCACAGAATTCCAGCAAATTTCAAATGAACATTATCGATAAACTTCAATATTAAGCATGAACAGGAGAGAATTTGCATGACATGGTTTAAGAGGAATTAAGGTGCTTACAGCAGGAAAATTTTCATTAAATACTTCTAAACGCCCAGTGTAATACATGTAGGTGACCTGCAATAGCAAGAGGGATCATCAGATCCTATACAAGAAAAAATTCCATTATTAAGGAGCAATTTCCAATTAAAGGCAAAGGAAACACTGGCCATTATTAAGTTTAGTCTCACCTTATCCCGTTTAGGAAATTCTTCAAAATCAAAAATTCGAGCAGTTTCAATACTGCGTATCACACTTCTGCAAAGGTGAACTGTACCAAGCTGCAAAAAACTAAATGTTAGACGTTTTATTGCTAAAGCAGGTAACTGACTCTGTCGCATCCCTTGCCCCCTCTACTCAATGGTTAAGGTTTTTAGATATCACAGATATTCCATTTTCCAACCCATTAAAAAAAAAATTTTAAAAAAAAACATTATTTATGGAAGACAGAAAAAAAAAACAATCTCCTACGTAGCCAGAAAAGAGAAGCATAACTAGCATTACCTTGAAATAAATTTTGAACAACTGGCAAGTCACATATAATGCTCCCACACGTTTTGGTCCTTTTCCCTATAAGTATTTACATGTCCTATTAAGCTGTTAGCAACGGAAATACATAAAACTTTTGATATGAAAAGGCATAAACATGGCACGAAAATAGAATTGATAAAGATAAAACATACAGCAAGAACACCAAAGACTTTCATGAGGAAAGAACCAGCTCCCTTCAATTTTTCCGGCGATTTTCCATTTGAAGCCAACTCTCTATCCGCCTACATTTAGTAATAATACTCATAAAACTTATAAAAATAAAAATAAAAAGTAACTGCGACATTTAGATCTAAATAAATGATACAAACAAATATACCCTCTCAGCAAGAATCCTAATTTCATAGGCAATAACATACAATGCCTCCAAAGCCCAGGCTGATTCCCAATTCCGAAACTCAGGAAGAAAAGCGCTGCATTTTTTTTTTTTTCAAAATTCGAGTTAAATAAAATTCTAGAGAGCAATTCAAATGATTAATTAATAAATAATAACTATTTACTTGGCTGCTTTTTCGAAGGAATGATAAGCATCGAGCAAGTTGCCAATTCTATAACTTTGTAGACAACGGAAAAGAGGTGCTATTATTTCCCCAAACTGCGAGTACTTCTCCGATTGCTTAATTAATCTATTTGCATCCTGTTTGATAAATACAATAAAATAATTAAAACAAAACAAAACAGCTGAAAGTAATTAATTAATTAATAAATAAATAAATTGGACCTGGAAAACATTCAGAGCGTCGGCGAGGGATAGGAGAGAAGAGGAGTTGGAGGAGACCGAGAGGAGTTGTTTCAGAGAAGTTCCGTCTTGGAATGAAACGGCGTCGGCGAACCGGCTTAGGTATTCCGTTATTCTTCTGTGAGCTTCTCCCATGCTTAAGTACGCCATTATTATATTATAGCTGCTGCTTGCTTGCTGCTCTCAGGACCAAAATATACAAACACTGACCTGACTTTAATGTTTTTGAATTGAATTTCAGCAAATGGAATCCAACTTCAGCAAGCAAACCAAACATTAGTACAACGGACTGATCGCAGACTACTCTACCACAAAGCTCGGCCCAGAAGGACTAGAGTCGGGTTTGGATGGGTTTTAGATTGTGTTGTTTTGGGTTGGAGTTATTTGGAGTTTGGACGATATCCCTAAAAAACACTATACCATAACTGTTGTTCCTGCTCATAGAATTCAATCTCGAAACAGAGTAAGTCGATATTTCAATTTATGGCCGAGAACTTCGCGATAAAATAATACTCAAAAAAATCCAATCTAATTCTATAACTTTACATAATCGAGTGTGTAAAACCTAACTAAAAAATATGTTAGTTTTGGAAAGCACATGTGCCAACATTTTGAGAAACACACTAAAATTATACAGGTTATCTCTTCTATCACGCCTAAACTCAAATCCTTCAGCTACTTTTGCAAGTGATTGCACAAGCCTCTTTTCAAGGTGTTGTAGAATGAGATGATTATTAATTCTAAATGATACTAATATTTTGCAAGATCCTAAAACATGTTCAACGGTCCTATTTAACAAACGAGTTGTAATACTATTTTTATTACATGTTCAGGCTCTACTTAAGTATTGCCTCATCTGTTCGTTACACGATGCTTTTTTTTTTTTTTTACATATTCGATTTATTTTTAGTCAGCACAATCACTAAAACTCTCAATTTTTCTGTTACTTTCTACATTGGCTATTGTATTTTTCAAGACCTAATGACAAAGAAGAAGCAGATTGGACTAGGTATAGAGCGAAATAAGCTAACTCCTTGACATTTTGCATCCTTAGTCATACAACTTGATATAGTTGACTTATGACATGGGCACTTAAGACATCCAACATCCACTCTTTCTTTTAAATTGACCTTCTCGAATCCTGTAACTCTTTTTTTTTTTTTTTTTAAGGAATTGTTGTTGCACTTTTGTCCTTTGGCTAAACAATAATGTTCACCTTTTTCAATAAATTAAATTTCTTCCAATCCTTGTTTGGAATTGTTACATGTTGATGTTTGGGACCTTAATCTACATTTTCTCCTGATGGTATTGTTAGTATAGGATTCCAAGATCGAATCTTATTTGCATGGTTTTCACGTATTATAACATTGCATTTTAATGATTAATAAAGAAATCTTTCTATTAATTTTTATTATTTATAATTTAATAGAATTAGATAGAAGTTCATATAATACGCATTGTATTAATGATTGATCAAAAAGTATGAGATAAACATCAATCAATTTAAATGATATCATTAAATATTCTAAATCATAGCATTATCAAGAATGGGCATTTACTATATATGACAAAACTTATAATAGTAGTAGGCGATCTCACACTTACTCGGTATGGTGATGTCAAAGCAAGCACTTAGGTGAATAATGCTAGAGAATATATCACTAGACATAACTCGTCATGAGAATCCATTTGGTTTAATCTATGAGAATTTCATACGAGATGGATACAAATAGTTCTTTAACTTAAAGCCATCAAGGCTATTTAATTAGAGAATTTATGTACTTTGATATTCTTCTCGATATGCTCAATAAAGAGCTACATGTGGACAATTCGTTAGGTGCACTAGGAATCTAATGAAAATAGGTGAATGCCTAAAATACGACATGTCATTTCTTATATACTAAAAGGGTTATCACATTACATTTCGATAAGTGTATCGCTCAAAAAATCTATGGTCATAGTGGATGTAAACCAATAGAGCATAGTTGGTTTACTTGAGAGCTAAGATATTTGAGAATCAAAGAAAATTTATGTGATCATAATTAAATAGAAAATAAACCAAGTTTAAGATCACATTGTAATAAATTGACATGAGGATCTGAATTGTATGAAAATCATATTTATGAAAGATAATTATAAATTAATTAATCCTCTTACGGAATTGGGTAGTTATGATGTCTTGCTAGGAGTCAATCTTGATTTATGTATCGATAGATAAAATAGGTGTCTTTTATTCTTAATACATTATCAATATATCTAGGAGCCTATTGAGTTACACACATAAGTTTAAACATTTATACAATAAAAGAGAAGCAAAGATTTTTAAAAAAAGTTTCCTAAAACGAAAAGTTTTTTATATTGATCCAAGCTATTTGAATAGTTTGAATATTGTATTATTGCATATTTATTAATAAAAAAAGTTTTTTATAAATTCATATTATTTATAACTTGATTAAATTAGATAGAAGTCCATATGATGTTCATTGCTTTGATGATTGATCAATAAATGTAAGACAAACACAAAAAGGATCGAAAGGAAATCATTAAATGTTTCAAGTCATAGCATTGTCAAAATTGAACTTTGACAATATGTGATAAGACTTGAAGTTATCATGGTTATCTCATTAGAGGATTGATGTGATTTGACATTTGTTAGGATGGGCTTAGTAAAAAGCTACATGTGGCAATTTCGATTATTTTCTAGCCAATTTGTTTTTTTTATGAAAACCGATGGCTAGCATAAAAAATTTCAGGTAGCATGACACATCAAATTAATTTTTCACATAAAAAAAAATTACAAAATTATTTTAGATCACCTCTAAAATTTTCTAATCCTTCTTTTTTAATTTTTCAAATCTTTTCTTCGATAATTTTCCCCGTGTCTAGTATCAAACTAGAAAAGAAGAAAGGTGAGGAATTAGTACATAGTTTTGAGATAATAGGTAAAAGCTTAAGAAGGTCTAAAACAAGTAGTGAATGAGTGTATAGGAATGAAGGAAGGTGTGAGCAGACTTCAACTTGGAATTTTGCCAAAGATTTCTAAAGCAACAATTAGTGCTAATAGTTTCACCTCAACTCTTAAAATAATCGAAGTTTCCAAAAGAAACTATAAGAGTCGGTGATGTTACCTTTAGTATCGATACTATTTTTTCTATAAAGAGTTTAGAAAAAGTCACTTAGACTCTAAAATTAGGCAACGACTACAGCAATTCATTAGCTATGCTTGGTAATCTTTTGAAGCAACCAAAGGTATCATCTAAGAGTGCGAAGGAAACAAGCAAAGGAAAGATGCAACGCCGCCTCATCTTTCTCCGTTGACTATATCTAGGAAATCAATATCGCGCTTCAAAGGAAGAATAAATTAAGGTGTTCTTATATAGTGTACTTCGAAGAATCAACATCGAGTTTAAAAGGCAAAAATGATAAGAACGAGTCTGCTTAAACCACATGTCCATCGAAGACTAGAAAAACATCTCTCATACATCTTTTTGTTATAATGGAAATAAACAACTCTTAATTTCTTCTTGGGTTTTCTCTCAAAGAAAATATGCATGTCGTTAGAGATTATGATAAAGCGAGATGCTATGAGAGAGTGTAGAGAACTTTGAGGTTTTAATTTGGAGAAAGTTTCTCCATTTTTAGAAAATATGATCTTCTACATACCCTGGTCCACTTGGATTCGTTGGTGAAGTGGTTGGGAGACAAAGACTTTCATTCATGAACATTGCTATTATAGTGATTTCGGGTCATTGGTTACCTCAACTCTTTGTTACATAAAATTAAAATTAAGTATGGATTAGAAATTTTGAAGAGAAAGATCGAAAACTTTGAGAAGTGATGGAAGGTAGTTCGTAATTTTTTTTGTTTTTTATTTATTTTTATCATGTACTAAATTAATTTCAATTGTGTATATATATATATATATATATATAACCTTTAGGTGTTGTTTGGTTATCGAAATGAAAGATTCGAAATGAGAATGTAGAAATCGGAATGCAATTTAAATTTGTTAATATCTAATTTTTTATACAAATAAAAATATTGATTAAAAATTAATTTTATCAAACTATAATGGTTGTAAAAATAATAAAGGTGATGGTGAGATTGCATTTGTGGTTGTGGTGGTGGTGGCGATGGTTACGGTGGTTGTGGTAAAAATAGTTGATAGATAATAAATAACTAAAATATATTATTATTTTGAAAAAAAAAATCATTTTCATTCCTTCTTTTTATTTCCACTTTTTAAATGAGAATGAAGTTGCGTGTAATTTTTATTCTCATTCTCACCCTTTATTCTTATTCTTATTTCATTCCTTTTTAATCAAACGACCACAACGTGAGAGTAAAACCAAAGAACTTGTAAGCCGATAGTATTAGTCTCTTACAATAAGAGGTCACAAGTTCAAATCCTAGCAAATTAGTTCTGCTAAGAACCTTCAATGTGTGAATTAAAAAAAATAACTTGAGAATAAAACTTATATTTTTATTCCCACCACTCTATTTTCAATTACCAAACAACACCTTAACATTTTTCTATAACCGAACTTTAAACTGCTGCCTTATTGGTCCCTTCCTCTCTCTCTAGTTATCTTCTAAAACTTTTCCCTTTTCCTTCGAGTTTAATTCTATTCCATTCTTGATCATATCACCCACACATTACCTAAACTCTCCCCTCTAAAATTTATTATGTGTGTGGTGGTGATTTTTTTATGAACTTTTGAAAAGTGAGAATGGAGAAGTCGTAAGCGATGCTTATTGGTTGATCGAAGGTGATGTGATTTGAATGGAGATATTTGATAGTTGAATTTTTATTGTGTTGAGCTATTATGATTTAGATAAATAGAAGTATAGAACCCAAATCCTCTTTAATTGTTGAAGTTGGAAAATAATTAAAAAATCTATTATCTACCTATTATTCTTTTGATGATGCTTGATCCCCCACAAATCTATTATCTTGCTTTGAAGGCTAGTAATGAGATATATGATATCCCGCTAATCATGTGATAATTCTATATGTTGATTATGTTAGTTAATATTCGGATATTATGGATATGCATGAGATTTGGTCAAATCAATCTCGGCTAATTAATGTAATTACATTAGCATGATTTTAGGAGATTTGTTTATGTACATAAGAACCACTGTTGTATATATATATTGTACCACTTCGTCAATAATAACGAACATATTTTCCCATATTTTATTATGGTATCGAGCCCTTCTAAAGCTAGAACTATTACGTTTTTGCTTGGTGTATAACGACGTTATGATGGTAGAAACCGAGTGAGCATGGAAAGACTACGATGACGGAGAAACAAGAGCAAATTAGTGACCGTGGGAAGGGAGTTGTTTCCCCTTATGACCTAAATGCAAGTGACAACCCGGGGGACGTGATCACCTAAGTGCGGCTCGGAGGAGAAAATTATGAAGGGTGAGCACGAGCCATGCGTACCTCCCTATGTGCATAACGCAAGTGGGGTTTTGTAGCCGTGCTTGTTGGATAACCGAATGAGGGAACATCCGAGATAGAGGATTGGTCGACGATCCAATCCATGCTTATGTCATGAATTTTGAACACTATATAACTTAACTTGTGCTCTACGATCTCCTATATGGAGAATGCGAAAGATTTATGGAAAGACATTAATGAGAGGTTTTCTATCATGAATGTATTAAGGATTCACCAATTGAAATCTAAACTGGTAGATTGCAAGCGGAATGGATTGACAATTGTGACTTATTATGGTAAGCTTAAAACATTATAGGATGAGTTAGCTAACTATGAGTAGATTCGATATGTGGGTATAAAGGTTGCATATGTGATGTGGCTTATAAACTCAAAAAGAAGAGAGAAGAGGAAAAGGTACATCAATTTCTAATGGGCTTGGATGATGCGATTTATAAAACTCGTGCGATCTAATCGCTTGTAGGTTATCCACCGCCTTCTCTAAATTGAGTGTATTTAGCCATGATGCGGGAAAAAAGAGTGCGGACCATCACTAGAGCTAAGTAGGAAAGAGGTGAAATTGTGGGACTAGCAACACAAGCCAATCGCGAGAGGACGTGAGGAATGCGAGAGATAAGAACCAAGTCCGCATTCACTACAATAGATCGGGATATGATGTGGATCATCGTTTCCAATTGGTTGGTTATCCCGATCGATGGGGTAACGAGCCCAAAAATAAAGGCAAAGTAACTAATCGAGGCAAGTAATAATAGCAATGAGTGGCTACATGCGAGAGATAAAAGGGGTGTTTGAGCCAATGCAACCAAACAGGCACTTCGAAGACCCATCCTCATCTATCAAAGAAGTGGACAAAATAGGACTTGCTGGCCTAACGGTGACCAGATGTTAGAGGCTTGTAGACATGTTGAATAAGGCGATTTCAATAAGAAGATGACAAGTAAAACATCATGGATTATCAACACTAACGTATCGAATCATATGATAGGCAATTTGAAAGAATTACATGACGTGCATGATATTGTAGCATGCCTAGTTAGGTTGCCAAATGGAGATCGAACAATTGCTACAAAAGAAGGAGCAATTTTCTTAGAAGGGGGATTAAAGCTTACAAATGTTCTTTATATCCTAAAACCGAATTGTAGTCTACTATCTATGTCTCAATTATCAAATTAGTCAAATTATATTGTGCAGCTCACTAATAAGCTCCGTGTTATGTAGGATCGTACTTCGAGGATGGTGATTGATGCGGGTAGATGACGCAATGGCTCTATTATTTTTATAGAGAACGAAGGGTAAAGCTTGCAAGAAAACTAGTGTAAATCAATTGGATCTTTGGCACAAACATTTGGGCATTCGTCTTTCAAGATCACACGGTTGATTCCTAATCTAAGTAAGAATAAATGTGAAGGATTGTCTAATAAAATTTGTGACGTTTATCTTAGAGCAAAACATTATGGAGATAAATTTTCTATCGGTGAACATAATGCCAATGATATTTTTGAATTAATTCATTATGATTTATGAGATCCATACAAGATCGCTTCTTCATGTGGTGCATTTTATTTCATGACAATAGTAGATGATTATTCTCGTGGAGTATGGATTTATTTGTTGGCTAATAAAAGGGAAGCGTCTCGAATGATTTTGAATTTTTTTGCTCCGGTCAAAACATAATTTTGTAAACATGTTAAAATCTTTCATAGTGACAATGGCAGAGAGTTTCTTTATATGAAAAATTATTTTTCCGAACATGGTATAATTTTTCAAACCTCTTGTGTTGGGACACTACAATAGAATGGGAGAGTAAAAAGAAAGCATAAACATATTTTAAATGTAGATAGAGCTCTTCGATTTCAAGGTAATCTCCCTATCACTTTCCGAGGAGAATTTGTTTTAACGAGTTGGGTATCCGATTAATAGAACACCATTTGAGACATTACATGGGAAAAAAGCCATATGAAATGTTGTATGGGAAACCTCCTACACTTGATCATTTATGAGTGTTTGGTTGTCTTAGTTATGCACATAACCAAGGGAGAAAAAGGGATAAATTTGCCAATAGAAGTAAAAAGTGTATCTTTATTGGGTATCCACATAGTAAAAAGGGTTGAAAATTGTATGATTTGGAGTCTCAAGAATTTTTTATTTCTCGCGAAGTGGTCTTTGATGAAACTAAAACTCCTTACCATGTGCCTATTAAGACTTCATACGAGTGATAAGGGAACACAAAATATTTCGGACTATGTGAAGGATGATGATAGGCCGAATGTATGTTTTGACTAAAGCCCAAATGGTGTTGTCGACGGAGAGGGCACTAGCGGCACATTAGAAGGTATAATTCACAAGGAGGTGTGAGTAGCATAGAAGAAGCACCGTCAAGACATATGTTACCCACATAACCCGCTTCGGATGACCTTAGTGCCGAGGCCGAGAGCAACGTGAACTCGAACAATTGGGACATGGGTGTAGAATGAAAATGCCTTCATCTTGATTATGTGATTATGTCACCAAAGCTCGTACATGCTTTGAGCCCATCTCGCTCGGTTACCTTCATCATCTCCACCCTTAGGTGCTTCCTATCTTATTGCTAATTATGTGAACTCGTCATACTTTTTCTTTAGCACATCGTGTTTTTCTTGCCTCTTTTGAATAGGAAAAGGAGCCCATGACATATAAAGAAGATGTTCAAGATTCTAGGTGGAGGGAAGCCATGCAAAATGAAATTACTCGCTTTAGAAAACAACCACACATGGATCGTGGTACCGCCGCATCCTAGAAAGAAGGTCCTCGGTGCAAATGGGTCTACAAAATTAAAAGAAAAATTGATGGCACTATGGAGAGATTCAAGGCTCGTTTAGTCATCATAGGAAACCATCGAGTCGAAGGAATTGACTATACCGAGACCTTTGCTTCGGTTGCAAAGATGGTAATGATACGAGTAATATTGGTAGTGGTAATCGTAAGAAACTAGACGTGACATCAAATGGACGTCTATAATGCTTATTTACATGGAGATTTGCAAGAAGAAGTTTTCATGAAGCTTCCACATGGTTTTCATGTATCTCAATCGACATGGTCCGTAAACTTCGTAAATCCCTTTACGGCCTCGACGAGCACTTAGATGCTTGGTTTGCCAAGTTGTCTCATGCTCTCAAGACTTATGGATTTTAACAATCTCTTTCGATTATTCTCTATTCATTTTACGAAGGAAAAGGTCGATATTGTCGTTTTAGTTTATGTGGATGATCTTATTATAACCGAAAACAACCACGCGACTATCTAGCAGTTCATGGCATATATGAATGCATGTTTTCATATGAAAGATCCGGGAGTGTTGAAATATTTTTTGGGCGTTGAGGTTGCCCACTCACTTATAGGTTTTTTTCTTTCCCAAAGAAAATATGCGTTAGACACTATTACATAAATCGGATCTGCTTGGAGCTAAATCGATGCTCACTCCCATAGAATCGAATCATCATTTAACTCTTATTGATGGACATCTTCTTTCTAATCTTGCACGAGTACCATCGTCTTATTGGTCGATTAATCTACTTGTGTTTCAATAGACTTGAACTCTCTTATCGTGTTTACATCTTGTCTTAATTCTTGCAGCAACTAAGAAAAAAACATTGTGATGCTACTTTAAGGGTGGTACGGTGTCTTAAAGGAAGTTTGGGTCGTGGAATTTTGCTACGCACGAACAATAATTTGTCCTTTTATGGATGGTGTGATTCGAATTGGGCTAGCTACCTATTGACTCGCAAATCTCTCATAGGTTGGTTTGTGTTTCTAGGAGATTCATTCGTTTCTTAAAAAACGAAGAAATAATAAATTGTATCTCGCTCCTCTACCGAAGCCGAATACCGGTCTATGGCCACTACAACTTGTGAGCTAAAATGGTTGAAAAGCATACTTGCGTTGTCTTGGTGTTTCATATTCTCGACCTATGAGGCTTTACTCGTGATAGTCGATTCGCTCTTCACATTGTCAAGAATCTCGTTTTTCATGAATGCACTAAACATATAGAAGTGGATCGTCATTTTGTCAAGAATGAGATTCTTACCGGCCATATCGGACCGAGCTTATGTCCCTACTTCCATGCAACTAGCTAATATGCTTATCAAATCTCTTCGCAGATCTCGGTTTATTGTCCGTTGTGCAAGTTAGGGATTTACAATCTTCATCCACCAACTAAGGGGGTTAATGAGATATATGATATCCCGCTAATCATGTGATAATTTTATATGATGATTATGTTAGTTAATATTGAAATATTATGGAATATGCATAAGATTTGGTCAAATCAATCTCAGCAATCAGTGTAGTTGCAGTAGCATGATTTTAGGAGATTTGTTTATTTACATAGGAACCTTATTGTATATATATTGTACAACATGTGTCAATGATAACAGAACATATTTTTCCATATTTTATTGGCTACCAAGGAACTGTTACTGCTGGATGGGAGCCGAAGGTCAATGCATGAATTCGAAATTTATTGATTTATGTTTCTTTACTCAAAATTGATTTTAGGATTCAAAACCCCATCTAATAAATTGATGTTGATGTGTTTGTCGGTAGATTTATTTGCTAATTAAGTGTGATGTTGAGGTAGAAAGTCTAGAGATTGCATCGAAAATTTGTGGGTTCTTCTTTGCTTTTTCTTTTTTCTGTAATTCTGATGATTGATGTAGAAATTTAAGTAGTTTTTTTGGTATATGTAATAATGTCTTTTCTTCTCGGTTCATGCATCAGGGTCTCTTATTTATGGATAGATGTTTCTAAACTGTTATTAGAGGCTGGCTAGATTCTCTAAACAATTATAATTTTTTATTTGCAATTAATTTACCTTAAAAAGTTTTTTTTTCCTTGTGTTATTGATGAATTCTTAAGCTATCAAATTGTTGTGTCCATCCTTATCCTCAAATAAATTCGTTTCTTGTAGATTGTTTTTGGAAAAATGAGAAAGATGCGAGCAAATACGATTTTATGAGCTCAAGCCCAATCTATAATTTTTTATTTGCAATTAATTTACCTTAAAAAGTTTTTTTTCTTGTGTTATTGATGAAATTTTGGGTTTTTAAATAAAAAACTGGTTTTTTTTAAAAAAAATTTGATTAATTAATGAAACCAAACCTAAAAATTTGAATGAATACATTTTTTTTTATTTCTGTTATATTGCCCGATCTATTTTCATTATTTAAATTTTGATTGTTATTTTTTGTTATTGGAGTGTCCACAGTAATTTATAAGTGTGAAATGCTCATGTTTCTAAAATGAACTGACATATGGTATTTTTAACCATCACGTGGCCATTCATCCAAAAAATCAAAACTTGGGCTGTAAAACAGAAGAATTTATGGTATCGATACTGAAACGGGAAAAAATATATTAAACATTGGATACCAAAATTACAATTTTCTCTTTAAAATGCGGCTGCTAGATTCCCAGATCCATCACCACCACCAAAAAACCACTGCCACCCCCTTCGACCCATTGACGAGACAAGTTCTCCATCTTGACAGCTACCTGCCCACCTTCCAAGTTCCAATCTACCCTCATATTGCTTGCATCTCACCCAATATCCCCTTCTTCCTTTTCAACAATAGAAAGAACCCAGAAACAGAAATTGGAACATTTGCATGAAAATTAAACATGGGTTCTGATTCAGTTTTAACATCAACGAAGCCAACACAAATACCAACTCAAGAAGGTGACCCACCAAGCCCATCTGCTTCTCTTCTTTCTTTCAACACGGACTCCACTACTAATCCTGACCACAAAAACACTACCAACTCCATCATCTTCATCTCTCTCATCCTTGTCACTTGCATCGCTCTCTCTGCTGCTTCTGCTTTTGCCTTTCTCTTCTTTTCCTCCTTTTCATCTTCTTCTTCTGTTAGTCCTGCAGAAATCTCGTCACCTTCTCTACAAACGACGTCTCGTCCGTTGACCAAGCTCAACCACCCTGTCGTTCTCTTGATTTCTTCTGATGGGTTCAGGTTTGGCTACCAGTTCAAGACCCATACACCAAATATTCATCGTTTGATTGCTAATGGGACTGAAGCTGAAACTGGTTTGATTCCTGTTTTCCCTTCTCTTACTTTCCCTAATCATTACTCTATTGTTACTGGCCTTTACCCTGCTTATCATGGTATTATCAACAATCGTTTTGTTGATCCAAAAACGGGAGAGGTTTTTACAATGGCAAGTCATGAGCCCAAGTGGTGGCTTGGTGAGCCACTTTGGGAAACAGTGGCTAATCATGGGTTAAAGGCTGCTACTTATTTTTGGCCTGGTTCTGAGGTGCATAAAGGTTCATGGACTTGCCCTCAAAGTTTTTGTATGTTTTATAATGGTTCTGTTCCTTTTGAGGAACGTGTTGATACTGTTTTGAGTTATTTCGATTTGCCAAGTAGTGAGATTCCTGTGTTTATGACCTTGTATTTTGAGGATCCTGATCATCAGGGTCATAAGGTGGGACCTGATGATCCGGAGATTACTGAAGCTGTTGCTCGAATTGATGGGCTGATTGGGAAGTTGATTGGTGGATTAGAGAAAAGAGGGTTTTTTGATGATGTTACTGTAATTATGGTTGGTGACCATGGAATGGTTGGCACATGTGATAAAAAGCTAATATTTTTGGATGATTTGGCTCCTTGGATTGATATTCCAGCTGAATGGGTTCAGTCCTATACTCCTTTGGTTGCAATCCGTCCACCTCCTGGTTTTGCACCGTCAGATGTTGTTGCAAAGATGAATGAAGGGCTGCAATCAGGGAAGGTTGAGAATGGAAAAAAATTGAAAATGTATCTTAAGGAGGAGCTGCCTAGTAGGCTTCATTATGCAGCAAGTGACAGGATTCCACCAATAATAGGGATGCTTGATGAGGGTTTTAAGGTGGAGCACAAGAGAACTAAGAGCCAAGAATGTGGAGGAGCACATGGCTATGACAATGCACTTTTCTCCATGAGGACAATTTTCATCGGCCATGGCCCTCAGTTTGCAAGGGGGCGAAAAGTGCCATCTTTCGAGAATGTTCAGATATACAACTTGGTTACTTCAATTCTCAATATCCAGGGTGCTCCCAATAATGGGTCTGTATCTTTTCCATCAGCTGTTCTTTTGCCCAATCCTTGATGACTTCTAAGAATGTCATCTCATGAGTGGCCTCAGCTATTCAGCGATGAAGTTGACGTGGGCTGGGTTGTATCTATTGCAAGACCATATCAACAATTGTTTATGGATGCCTGGTTGTGAGTTATTATGTGATGTGGTAGCACGGAAGGTAACTGTATTAGTGTTGATCCTTGTGATTGTTGATTCATGTTCGGTTACATGATCACTTGGCTCCTGCTTTTTTAATTATTATGTGCTGCAAATTTAAGAGAGGAATTTTAGCATAAAAAGTTATTGAATCTGTATATTTGTAGCATGGCTGTCTGCCTTTCTTATTCCATGACTTGCATATTTGATGAACAATAGGGACCAAGTTTATGTTTTACTTCCCATGACGTCTAATTGTGGCCTCTGCCTGACTGCTTATATATATATGTGTGTGTGTGTTTGTGTGTGTGTGAAAAACCCAAATCAACCTAAGGTTAGCTGTTCGCTTTTACAACTTCTATGCCATTTCTGCAACATGTGCTTGTTGTCATCTCAGAAGATTACATATTCAGGCTTTAGGCCAGGTTTAAGATATGGAAGTTTATTGGTAAATGTGCTTTTCATTGGCATAATTGACTTACAACATATCAAACGTTAAAAGATATTCAGAGAAGATGGCAAACTTTTATTCTTTTGGAACTTCTCAATTGAAAATTGAATAGTAAACTTGTGAAATTGGCGTCATTGAATAATTAGTTTGTGGATTTAAAGTCCTAAAATGTGTTGGCAGATATTGGTTGTGGTCATGGATTATAACGACACCAGTTGAGTGCCTAACTGCTGACTCAAAATCATGATTCCATTCTAATTGACCTTGTGATTATTAATTAGTTGTTTGTATCATGACGAGCACCAGGTCTATATTTTACATTCAATAGTCTCGAATTACAGCAAGTGCTTTGATGGCTACAACTTGGATTGCGTGTTAATATGATAGCTGGTGGCGAATTGGAAAAATTGTTTCTTTCTGGTTGAAAGATAATCAACCCAGGATAAGTAGTTTGTTTCTATGAGTTCTATTCTATTTCTGTGTCATTTTGTTCTTATTTTCATATCAGTAGATTGCATGTGCAAGCTTGAGTTCAAGTTTAAGATCTTAGCACACTCTTGTTAAGTAAATATGCTTTTCCGTAAATCTAATGGTAAAATTGTTCATTTTCTTGACTAGAACATTAAGTTGTTGAAATTGACATCTTGAAATATGGTGTTGGATTTTGTTTGTGGCTATAGATTGTGAAGGAACTGTGATTGCGTTGTCGTTAATTTTCTTACAGCAACTTTAAGCAACCCATTTCTTTGTCATAGAACATTGCAGCTCAAAGTCAGGACTCCTTTCTAGTTGACCTTACCGAGTGTTTGTACTCTTAGAAATTAGAAAAGAGTGAAGGCATTTCTGTATGTAGCAAATCACTATTGGAAGCTTCTTAGGATCCACAGGCAAAGTTTTTTTTTGATGAGTTTAACTTGTTCATATGCTTCCTTCATCTTCTCCTGTGGGTGGGGACAAGAAAGCCTTGTCCAACAGAATTCGGTTGGAAATCAGAGGTTGCATGGCAGTTTGTGGTGCAACCATATGTTGCGGTGCTAAGTTGCATGTCTTGCAATACAATTTTTGTGCACGGTTTGTTCACTTGGTTTTGAAGCAATATTAAGAAATTTATCTCGGTTTTCTTTTCTGTAACATTTTGCTTAATTTCTTAGTACTTGTTGAAATTATTGCTTCTTATAATTTTATTAAAAAAAAAAAAAAAAGAAAGAGAAACAAACGAAAATACATGATGTGGTCTGTGTACCATACGGCTGTATTTTTGTGAAACAGCTACAAGGGCGACAGGGAAAACATTGCTTAAATTATAAGACTAATGGGCGAAAGCCTAAAAGAGATAGTAATAAGACGATCAAATGGGTAGCTACAGGGTTGTTTTTGCACAATATCAAGGTGAGTTGATATCAAACTGCAGTCTACAATCAAATTAGCTAATAGTGTTCGAGGCCTTTTTAAAAGTCTTAGGTGAGTCATAGTTGCCAATCAAGGCTAAAGTAAGTTTAGACCTAGCATTTCCACTGAAGCTGGTACCTCAATAGTCATCCATGTCCTCTTCATTCTCTTGGAAAATCATATATTCGAATCTCCTTATATATATATAAACTGTGTAGCATGCAAGTTCAACCCTTCTTTCCATTATGATGAAGGAGCAGCCTAATTCTCGAACTTCAATCTATAATACTGCTTTAGAGAAGATTCGAAGAACTTCTGCGGCAGAAGGTTTGAAGAAGAAAAAGAAACATGCGCACCTGAAACTTTTGCGAAAGAACGAGGAATGCCATTTATATTATTCTTTTGGAAAGGGAGCAATGAGTAAGAGAAAATGTATCTAGTGCTTCTTGTGATTTTTCACAAATTACATGTTTTTTAAAAAAGGTAATTATATACACAATTAACGGGGTATACTCGAGAAGGAAAATAAATTTTAAAAGACACAAAAATAATTTTAAAATACATCATGTGCATTACATGTATTGCATGGATTACACTTACTCAGCAACGCTTACCTAATTTCTTATAGTGTAGGTAAAAAAGAAAGATAAATAAATACCGTCACCGAGAAAATGTGTTGACTTGCCTTGAATTGTGCTTAGTATTGTATAAATAAGTGAGAAAATTTTATCTTTATTTAACTTAATTTTTGGACATGTAAATAGATGTTAGGTTAAGCAAATTTTGGTTTGTAATTATGAATATTATGTTATAATAGTGATGGAATCTTTATGGTTGGCATTATCTAGTTAAGTAACTTGAATAATGGCTTGGTTACTAAATTCATTGGATGGGTGCAAATGAGTCAATAGATCAAGGACAAGGATTAGTTAGAGGTTAAAAGGAGGAATTAATTAAATGGTTGTTTGGTTTAGTAACTAAGGATTTAATGGTAAAAAGTATGGAATTAAAATGGTAAGGTAAAAATGGCAACAAAGGTTTGAGCCATTAAATGGAATTAAAAGATTAATGATTAAACACATTTAATAGGCTAGTAGGCTAGTTTAAATAAATTTAGAAACAAAGTTCCATAAAGTCCAAAAAATATTTTGAATGCTCAAAATTCTAGTTAAAGGTCTAAATGAATTTATTAAGTACTTAATTGAATGGATTTCTAGTCCATGGAATTTTTATAAAAATAATGGCATTAAATCAAGATTTAATGGTTCAATATATATTGATTATTTTCTAATTAAATCGAAAATATTTTTTGGAATGAAAATAATGTAGAATAATCCTACTATATTTTATAGAATATTTTAAATTAAATATGAATTTTTAGAAGAAATATGGGAAAATTGGCACACGTGATACTACGGTATGGAATCATTCGGAATATGGCTATAAATTGAGCCTCAACGTGTCTGGTTCAAAGGGAAGATTTTGGGAATGTGATTTTCTCTGGTTTTAGGAAGAACAGTCTGGGTTTGAGCTTCTTTTGGGGTTTCTAGTTTTGGTTCAGGTATCCCATAATCACAACAAGTGTTTGGGTTCACAATGAGCCTCCTCAAGGCCACATTTTCATCAATCATCCTAATAAAATCACCCATCCATTTCGACCAAACGAGAGTTTTTCTTTTTCAGTCTCGAGGAAGGAATTTCTAAGCTTTCAATCCAGTTTCCAAGTGATTCAAGTTTATCCCAGGTTCCATTTGGTGTCTAAACCCATATTATTTTCTTAATAATAAATCATACAACGCATGAGTACTCAGTCAATTAAAAATATAATAGTTAATCAAAGATTTTAAGATTTTATATACAGTTAGGAAAAATATTACTTTCTAGTCCCAACACCCCTTGATATGATACTAAAAATTATGTAGGATTGAAAATCATAAAAACTTTAATTCACTGCTAATTTATATCATCGGACATAAAAAAAGTGATTTGATGTCTAAAGAATTTTTGTTAGTAAAAACTTAGTTCAACAAATTGTAATATAATCTGGAGATGCTCTTTTAATTAGTAGTCTCCACCCAAAAAAAAAAAAAAAAATTAGTGACCTATATAGTTAGAGTCTATATAGCTATAATTGCTGGATTAATTTTTGCAAAAAACCATTTTACCTCTAATAGTTAGTGAAAGTTATAAATCAGTTTTTCTAGTCTTACAAAATGAACTAAATAGTCTCTCTCATTTCAAAAATTATTAATTAGTTTCTTATTTAGTATTGATCATATTTAATTTTTAATATTATTTTGTTCTAAAAGTGTTTTTTTTTCTAGTACATATTTTCATATTATTTACTTATTATATATATATATATATATATATATTTTTAAAAAGAGAATAAATTGAATAAGAGCATGAAATGGATGAAAGAGGCTAACCAATTAGTTTTGAAAAATAGGAGACTATTTAATTTATTTTTTAAAACTAGAGGAACTAATTTATAAAAATAGGACACCCAATTATTAATTTTTAAGTAAATTTCATCTCTCTCTCGTTATATCTAACTCGTTAAAATATTGATCGTTAATTAAAATGTATAAAACGACGTGATTTTATGCGTTTTAGTTTTTTCAATTAATTTTGAAAAATAAAAAATTGATAGCTTTAACCAAGTATAGATATTTTATTGTTCATGAATCTGATTTTTGTTGTTAGGTAATTAATGATATGTAATGAATTCGTTTAATTAAAAAATGAATTATTAAATATATAAATATTTTTAAAATTAATTTTCATTTAAAAAATTTATAATATTTAAAGTGATATCGTTTTAACTATGTTTTTTTTAGTAATAATACTTTTGACCATCATATCTAATGAAGAATAATAAAATCCGTCCAAAGAAAATGATAATTTAGGGTTTGGATAGTTTGTATTGATGGTACAAGTCTTATTTTTTTACAACCACAATAGTATAGAGGTAACTCATGCCGTTAAGCGCGTGTAGAAGTATCATGTTGGTACGATCTGGTTCACACAAACA